CGGTGTGCCGGTCGAAATGGAGATTGGATACATTCCAAACTCAAACAACGGCCAATATCCAGGAGTCTACATGTTCTCGCAGTGCTCGAGAATGTACCGACCTGTCAAGTACCTGCCTCTCAACAAACTGGATTATGTTGGTCCGTTTGAGCAGCCCTACATGTCCATCTCTGTTACGGATGCCGAGATTGTATCGGGAGACTCAACCCACGTTGAATTTGAGCCGACCAACATCTTTTCCATCATCGCCAACCAGACTCCGTTCTCCGATTTCAATCAATCACCAAGAAATATGTACCAATGTCAGATGGGAAAGCAATCTATGGGTACACCAGGAACTGCCATGAGATACCGAACAGACAACAAGACCTACCGGTTACAGACAGGCCAGACTCCTATTGCCAGACCTCCATTGTATAACGAGTATGGAATGGACAACTTCCCCAACGGAATGAACGCTGTTGTGGCTGTTATTTCCTACACTGGTTACGACATGGACGATGCTATGATCCTGAACAAGTCGTCACATGAGCGTGGGTTTGGGCACGGTACGGTCTACAAGACCAAGATTTTAAATCTCGAGGAGGGAAACCGCAAGAGTCGATCGAATAAGTCGATAGCCAAGCTTTTCGGCTTTGCGCCTGAGGGTCTCATCAAAGCAGAGTCTAAGGAGACTCTTGACATTGACGGCTTACCTCGGATCGGAACCATGTTGCGGTCTGGCGATCCCATCGCAGCATTCCATACTGTCTCGTATGATGCAGCTACCGGCGACTACGTGAACCGCGACGGACAGACTCAGTTCCTCAAGTACAAGGAGGACGAAATCGCTTTCGTCGAGGAAGTCCGCGTCATTGGCTCAGAGGACGGCACTCAGCCTTGCCAAAAGGTCTCAGTCAAGCTGCGAACGCCACGTTCTCCCGTTGTCGGAGACAAGTTCTCTTCTCGTCACGGTCAGAAGGGTGTCGTGTCTCAGAAGTTCCCAACCACTGATATGCCGTTTTCCGAATCTGGCATACAACCAGACGTCATCATCAACCCCCACGCTTTCCCGTCCCGTATGACAATCGGCATGTTTATCGAGTCACTGGCTGGAAAATCTGGAGCGCTCCACGGCATGGCACAAGATTCAACGCCGTTCAAATTCGATGAACAGAACACGGCTGTCGATTACTTTGGTGCCCAATTGAAAGCCGCAGGCTACAACTACTATGGAAACGAACCAATGTACTCTGGAATCACCGGCGAGGAACTTTACGCTGATATCTATATTGGAGTAGTATTCTATCAACGTCTTCGTCACATGGTCAACGACAAATTCCAAGTCCGAAGCAACGGCCCATCAAACGCACTAACGGGTCAGCCTATCAAGGGTAGGAAGAAGGGTGGTGGTATCCGTGTCGGAGAAATGGAACGCGACGCTCTCTTAGCCCACGGCACCGCCTTCCTCCTCCAAGATCGACTGATGAACTGCTCCGATTACACCAAAGCCGCTGTTTGCAGAACCTGCGGCTCCTTCCTCAGTACTACGCCTACTGTCAGCGAATATGGCCGCAAAAAGGATAGAAACGGCAAGGATGTTACTATTCGCTGCAGACGTTGCGCCAAGCTTGCTGATAGCAACGATAACGACGTTTGGATGGACGCTCAGGGCTTGCGCTACTCCGGTGGCGAAGATGTCGCGATTGTGGCTGTTCCTGGTGTCCTTAAGTATCTTGACGTTGAACTGTCTAGTATGGGGATTAGGCTCAAGTACAATGTGGATCCTTAGGGGGAGGAAAAAAAGTTTCATGACTTTCATTTCTTTTTTTTTTTGCATTGCATTTGCCTGGCGTAAATGAGGCCAGATTTGGTCATTTCAATAGATCCTAACGTTTTCAATTTTCTTTGTTGTCCCATTTTCGCCATGTGGTCTGTCTTGACCAGCGTCTAGTAAACAGTCGAGGTAAAAGAGACAAGTTTTTAAATGTTCGAATGACTGGCGTTTTGCCCAAAATAAAAGAATGTACTTCCTGCGATAAAAAGCTAAATAATCTAGTGAAGACTAGTCGATGCTATACTTTCTTGTATGTATACACTAAAGAGGTATAAATAGCTGGCTCGTAGTTGAAAGACGCCTTCGCTGCTCTGCTGAGGTTCCTTTGTGATAGGGATTGGGACTCCGAGATCTCTATGACATCTGTCTTGTTTAATTTAAGCAAGCGGTCAAGACGACTTCTAGCGGGAAAATTCAGACTCGTGTTCGGGCATTCATCCTGTAGTGAGCGTGCTATCCTTTTTCTAGGAGATTGATGGGCTGACTGTGGGTACCAAGGCTGGCGCAAGAAATCTTATCATGCGTGTTATGAAGTTATGCGATTCGAATTCATACAATATTCTTGTAAATATACGTATACTATAATAAGCTAGGCTCAAAGAGCTATATTCAGGCAATGTCAGGTCACGATATTGTATTCGATAGAGAACTGAGCTCTAGGCTAGGTAGCTATCTATATAGCGGCAGGTGAATAGGCCAGTTGGTGTTATAAGTAGCAAGAAATGATATCTCCTTAGCGCAAATCGCAAAGTAAAAAAAAAATCTTCACGTGTTCACGTTCAGAAGGTCCATGGTGCGGTCAAGTGAGATGCCATCACGCCAAGATATGTGATTAGTGATAGTAGACTGTGGTTGTATTTAATGCTGACTTATCTAATATCTGTCGCGGAGTGAGAAAGTTGACAATAGAGTAATACCGAGTAATCCACTTTCCAGTATATGAAGACCGAAAATAGTGAATTACGAAGAAAACTTTACGAAGCTCTGTTGATACTAAACCTTGCACACTTCAGTACTTTAGTACAGCTTTGGAAGTTAAGAAAATTCGGTTCAACACCAAGTTATTCTTTGTTGAGTATTTGTTTTGCTTTTAGGGAAAGAAAAGAATCTAGAACACAGTAGTAGCAACAACAACAGATGTCCGTTTATATTTCCTACTTCACCGAGTTTAAGCTGACTATCACGTCCTGAAAGAGTTAGAACAGACAATCGAGAAAATGCCAAAAATGCGTATAATTTTCATGTCTATTACTTGGAATAATGTTTTATGAATGATTCTGTGCAGTACAGGAGGGTATCGTAATGACTCGTCCCATAGCCGATTTTCCATAAATGGCCAAACCAAAAAAAACTCCTGTACTATGCTGCCACCCAATTGTACGCCGTTCATGCCACTTTTCCTCGTGCTCTCGTCAATGTGTCAATACTGTGACTATTCTTGTTCTTCGGTAAAATCAACCGCTTCCTTCTGCTCCACCTCGCTTTCTTCGTCAACCTTGGCAAGGAAGGGATGTTCCAAAGCCTCAGCAGCCGTAATACGCTTTGCGGGGTTGCACTCCAAAAGGCGGTACAGAAACTGGACAGCTTCCTTCTCTTCCTCCTCAAGCTCCTTCTTGGGCTGAGTCTTGTCGCCTGTCCGCCCTGTGCACCAAAGGATAATCTTCTCTAGGCTGTGACCGCCTTCGCTATAACTGGGTACGTTCGTCTCAAAGACTTGGCCATGTAGGAGCGCTGTCTCACGCATCTTCTTTCGTCCAAAGATAGTGGTGATCTCGAGCAGCGCATCGATGTCGTCTGCGCTGTGGAAGAAGGGAAAGCGGCGCGAGAGCATGGTCAAGAGTATGACTCCCACACTCCATACATCAATAGAACAAGTTTGCTGAGTGCATTTCAGAAGCACCTCAGGGGCACGGAAGCCACGAGTGCCCGCTCGGTTGGCACGTCTGCTGTTGCGAGTGTCGTTCTTGGGATAGGCGGAAGCGTTGTGGCCTGCCGATTGTGTCTGAGCGTAGACGCTGTGGGATATCCTATAGCGACGATCCTCTTCGTTCAAGTGACAGGCACAGTTGTGCCAATCTGTGCCTTCACGCTCCGCGAGGCCAAAATCGACCAGGACGCCACGAGATTGCGATGTGTTATAGAGAAAGTTGGTGGGCTTGACATCACGATGAATAATGCCTTTCTGATGGACTGCTGCGAGGGCAGTGAAAAGGCTCCGGAAGTAAAAGCGCATGTCGGAAATCTTCATGTCGCGGTAGTAATCTCGAAAGTCACGATGCTGAAAGTAAGGAAGTACGGCCACTACCTGGTCCAAGTGACGGAAAGCGGTGATGAGGGGACACACTGAGTCTGAATCTCTCAGATCGTAGAGAAGCTCGAGCTCGTTGAAGATGCGTATCGGACTGCTTGTAACGTAGATCTTCTTGATGGCCACATAGTGGGGGCGGCGGGCGGAGTGCTTCCTGCGGGAAGGGGACATGTTCTTGTTCTTCTCACGCTCGTCAATATCCCAGTTGTTGTTGTATTTTTCGTACTCGAGATCTTCAGCCTTGTAGACGGTAGAAAAGGTTCCTGTGACGAAGTGTGAGCGACCCTGGTACCCTGCATGATTGCAAGCCAATGATGGAGGACATACCCTCTCCAATGCGGTTGATTAGTCGAAAGCGCTTGCTGATACCAACAAATGTTTCTTCGAAGCGCGCCATATCCTCTTGGACGGAATCCTCGACTTCCTCGTCGCTGCTGTCGACTGTTTGCCCACTCTCGTCGAGCGGATCCATACTTTCGTCCATAGTCTCTTCAGCTTCTTCTGCCTTTATAGAGTCTTCGTGGACGTCAATGGCCTCTGCATTCCGCAGCGAAGTACGTGCCTTTGCCATGGGAGGAGCGTAAGTCTGTAAGTGGTCTTCTTATGGTGTGCAGAATGATGCGCGAGTCTCTGCACAGCGTCTGGGAGACGCGTTCCGCGATTGAACCCTGAACGATTACTAGGCCGGAAGGGGAAGCATGATGACAAGGCGCACGGGCCAATAAACACATCCAACGCGCTTTCCCGCCAAGTGAGACGACGGCCCGCATTTGTCCCTTTCACTTGAGCAAACAACCCCACCCTCGACGACCCTTTCGTCGCTTCTTTTTGTTTTGGCCTTCTTGTCTTTTGGTTCCGCAAGCGATTCTGACCATTATGGATGCGCGCGTGGAATTCGACATCAATGAGGCGGTCAAGCTGTTCGACAGCGACCCTTCGACGATCCCCACGCCCGAGGCCCCGCAAGCGCTACAAGACTGCGAAGATGAGCCAGAAGCGCTGTCGTCGCCCGGATTGATCAACAGCGAGCTGAATCCTGTGGTTGATGCCGTGGCAGAGAGCCCAGATGCGATTACTCGCAGCTCTGTCTTTGATACTCTGCAGTTTCTGCTGAAGTGCGTTCCCGCATATCCAAAGCACGCAAAAACATATGACATAGAACCTAACCGTAAACTGTTCCGGCTCTCTAGGCACTCATCGCAGATTCCTCCCGCAATTCTCAGCAAGATACTCGACCTCATATCCTCTGCACTGTCTACGCAAGCCGACATAATCCACGCAGACCTCGAGGCCGAAGAGCAGGATGCGATACCTCACCATAAGAATTTACTCGAGATGTATGGGTTTCTTCTCCGTTGGACCATCTCCGCAGTTGAAACAAGAGCGTTGGAGAAATCCGCCTCTGCCCCAGCAGCGCGGGGGCGGGGTAAGACTACAAAGACGAAAACTGGCGGAGGCAAAGAGAGCGCCTGGGATGCTTCTGCCCAATTAGAGACGGCATTAGACCGGATGAGCAAGGTACTCAGACTCAAGCTGGGCCGTATATTCGTCACCACCTCAGAGCGAGACACGTTCATCGGCCTGTTCACAAAGCCGGTATACCACATCCTCGAGAACGAGACAAGAGTCAAGAACAATGCCATACGGAATCATTGTTTCAGAGTTTTGTGCTTTGCCGTCAAATCGCATGGACACGCGTACAGTAGGTACACCAAGACCCGTCAGAGTACATCTACTGACAACTATGATAGCCGCGCAAACGTCCATCAACCAGAGCCTGACATATTTTGAGCATCTGTCAGAGCCCATGGCAGAGTTTCTGTTTACACTTGCAGATGCGTTTGATTATCCACAACTCACTGAAGACGTCTTGAAAGATATTAGCAGCAAGGAGTTCAGTTCCACCGATCTCAAAGGCCCAAAGTCTATCTCGACTTTCCTTACCAAGATTTCTGAACTCACACCACATCTCGTCATCCGACAAATGACACTGCTCGCAAACCTGCTAGATAGCGAGTCGTATACCTTGCGTTGCGCCCTTATCGAAGTCTGCGGAAACCTCATAACTATGCTTAGCAAGCTGAGTCAAGACGACCGCAGCGAAAACCACAAGGCACAGATCCGAATTTTCTTCGATGTGCTTGAAGACCGTTTCCTCGACATCAATCCCTATTGTCGTGCTAGGGTAATGCAGGTTTACGTTAAACTCTGTGATCTGGAGCAGAAATACCCCAAGCGAAGACAAAAGGTCGCCGAACTTGCCGCTCGCAGTCTTGAAGACAAAAGTAGCAACGTTCGCCGAAATGCGATTAAGCTGCTTGCCAAACTCATCTCAACCCATCCCTTCACGGCATTTGATGGAGGGTTGCTGTCGACAAAGGACTGGACTAAGCGATTGGAGGAATGTGAAGCCCAGATCAATGCTCTACAGCCTCCAGAAGAGTTGAGGGAACGCCCACCGAATGATCAGACGGTCGATGAGACACTACTGCAGGATGCAACACAGGCTGATGCTGGGGATGAGGAAGGGCCGAAGCACCCATCTGAGATGAGTGAAGAGGAGAAGGCTGCCGCCATCGAAAAAGCTCAGAAAGATGCAGCCACCGCGCAAGAGTTGGAAAAATTCCAAGCAGTACGCAAGTTCCTGCTCGAAGCACTCAAGTTCATTGAAGTCATCAACGATGCTGCTGAGATCATAACTCAGCTACTATCATCCAAGAACAAGAGCGAAGTCATTGAAGCCATGGACTTCTTCACCACCATCGATGCGTACAAGATTGCCAATGCAAAACTTGGTATCCGGAGGATGTTACGACTCATCTGGACCAAAGGCAACAGTGACGAAGGCAAGGGTGTGCAGACGCATCTACTTGAATGCTACAAGGGCTTGTTCTTTGATGCACCGCCCGGATTCGATGATAATGCAGTTGCAAACTACATTTCAAAGAACATGATCAGTCTGACTTTCGGCACAACGCCGGCAGAACTGACGTCCCTCGAGCAGCTTCTCAGCACGATGATGAAGCAGGGCCTGGTCAACGGATTGGTCATTCAGAAGCTTTGGCAGATCTATGGCTACCAGAAGAAAGACATATCCAAGAACCAGCGCCGAGGAGCTATCATCGTTCTGGGCATGCTGGCGCTTTCCACACCCGACATCGTGGTGCAGGAAATGGAGACTTGCCTCAGGATTGGTCTAGGAGAGCTTGGCAGGCGAGACCTGGGACTGGCCCGGTACACTTGCATAGCTCTTCGCCGCATGAGCCAGCCGCCAGGAAAGCAGGCCACCAGTGACGCTCCAGCTCAAACTGTAAAACTGCCAAACGATCACGCAGTGTTGGTGAGGCTGGCTGCAATCACAGAAATGACATCGGAAAGTAAAGAGTGGTATGGAGTAGCAGAGCAGGCTATCAGTGCCATATATGTCCTATCCAAGCACCCCGACGTCTTATGCTCAGAAATTATCCGCAAGATCACTAAGCGTGTCTTTGCTGGACAACATAAATCCGAGTCACGCCCTACATCAAGTTCGAGCGCTGCTGAGCCGAAAGGGGAGGATGAGGAAATGCCAGATGCACCTCCGATCGAGGAGCCACAACCAAAGAAGCAAAACTCTGCCCTCGCTCTCTCGCAGCTGCTTTTTGTCGTAGGCCATGTTGCAATCAAGCAAATTGTGCACCTTGAGCTTTGCGAGCTCGAATTCAAGCGCCGGAAAGCTGAAAAGGACAAGAAGAACGCATCTGCTCCTCGAAAGTCGATGGCATCATCGGGCGATCCAGCCCCCTTGAAGAAGGGCCGTAAACGAGGTGCTACTAAGGAGCCTACACCAGCACCTGAAGAAGCCGATGAGCTTGATCTCATGGCTGGTACTACTGAGGATGACTTTACGGAAGCTATTGCGCATGTCCGTGAACGCGAGCTTCTATACGGCCCGCAGTCTCTTTTGGCAAATTTTGGTCCGTTAGTGGCAGACATTTGCGCCAACAACACATCGTACAATCATCCGACTTTGCAAGCTCAGGCGGCACTCTGCTTAGCGAAACTCATGTGTGTAAGCTCAGAGTACTGCGAGACCAACCTTGGCTTGCTGCTCACCATCCTCGAAAGGAGTCAAGATGCAGTCGTCCGCAGCAATCTTGTTGTAGCACTTGGTGACATGGCAGTGTGCTTCAACCACCTCATTGACGAAAACACTGACTTCCTCTACCGCCGCTTGAACGATGGCGACCCTAGCGTCAAGCGCACTTGTCTAATGACGCTTACTTTCTTGATCTTGGCAGGTCAGGTCAAGGTCAAGGGTCAACTAGGCGAAATGGCCAAGTGTCTCGAAGACAGTGACAAGAAGATTGCCGACATGGCACGCATGTTCTTCACTGAGTTGTCGACCAAGGACAATGCTGTCTACAATCAATTCATTGATATGTTCAGTGTGCTTAGTGCAGATACGGGCCTTAGCGAAGAGGCATTGAAGAGAATCATTAAGTTCTTGGCTGGATTTATTGAGAAGGTATGGATTTACAATAGACTACACAATGTTGCAGCATTAATACTAACACTATGTAGGACAAACATGCCAAGCAACTGTCTGCCAAACTTGCTTCGAGGCTTCCAAGGGCCGAGAACGAGAGACAGTGGAATGACATCGCATACGCGCTGGCTCAGCTACAGCACAAGGACGAAGAGATTCAGAAACTGGTGTCGGAGGGCTTTAAGGTTGTACAGACGGCTGCGTAGAAGGCTGTGTTGTTTGTTCCATTGTTGGGCTTGGTCACGATTGTATGGAAACGATATTGATACCCTGGGCATTGGGTTGGAATTGGATTTGGCGTTGTGGTGGATAGAAAACTTGGTATCATGAAGAACGTGATGACTCAAACGTTGAATGCAATACCATGTTTTCCAGTGGCAGCCTTTTGGGGCGCACAATAATTTACATGTCCATCTCTTGCGTATGTCACTATACAGTCTGCTTCTTGGCATCTTTTACTTTGTTTTCGGCCTTGACTTCGTCCTTGGTTTTCTTCCCCGCCTCGACTCTCCTCTCCTTTGCCGTCTTTTGCTGTCCAGCCTGTCCACCATGCGCTTCTAGCCTCGCCTTTTCGTTCGCTGTATGCACTTTCATGCGCTCCATGGCTTCTTCCAGCGTCGGTATCCGATATCCTTGCTTCCTTGCCTGTGCCAATCTCTGCACACTGACCTGCCTCCCCCGCGCGGCGCTCCTCACATCCTTCAATAACCTGTCCTTGATGCGCTGCTCATCTAATTGGGCTTCGGTGAGGACTGGTGGGCGGTTCTCGACTGGTTCGCCAAAGGGCGCAACAATCGAGGTTACGACATGGTGAATGGCTGTGGAGGTGCGATGACCTGACGCTATGCGGACGACGTCGCCTTCGACAAGGGAGTTGTTGGGATCGCGGACAAGGTAGTTTTTGGGCGCAGGGAAATGCTGCAAGTATTAATTAGCATTGGAAAGATTTGTGTGTGTTTCAATTGTCAATTCTTACTTTTCTAAACTTCTTGTTCCATTCTTGTTCTGCGACTCGCACTTTTACTGCCTTTGACATCTTCCCCGCTGAGACTACGACACCAATCTTGTGACTCGCAAAATAGTTCTGCACAATTGGCTTGCCAGCCTTGGCTTTGTTCGCTATTGACGCCATGACGGGCGGCTATGTGGTGGTGGTGGTGGTGGTCCAGGTCGTGTGCGGTGGATGCGGAGGTCTTGCGGAGGTGCGCTAGCGCTACAAGGGCCTTTGTATATTGAGGCCGAGTCCGGACAGGTCAAGACAGCAACTCAATGCGTCGTTTGGGGGTATCTGACGGCGGGCCGGGGGACGTGGGGAACTGCAGCCTCGATCAACGGGTTCGCGCCAGCTCTTCCACCGCGCACAAAAAGTCATGTCGGTGATGCCAAGGCTTAACTCCGATTGGTCGCATAATCTACGTTACTGCTATCGTGTCCCGAACCCTACTGCTTTACCCTTCACTCGCAGCTTCTCATATCAACTTGACTTTTCCCCCTCTCTTCCCTTTAGTGTCGAGGTCGCCCGACCTCGCTAGACGTTTGTGAATTTCATGTAGACAATTGTTCTCGTCCTTATATCGGATACGCACATTCCGTCCACTCACTTTCCCAAGTTCAAAGTCGCCGCTGGCGCACTTCATACTGCACCATGCTTCTACGGATAGCGCTGTTTTTTGTGGTCGCATTTCTGGCGCTATTAGTTGTTGGCGCAGAAGACTATTACAAGGTATGTAAAGTCTATATTATGCATTTTATATTCTTACCTTTATCGCAATTCCAAATGCATTGGTTAACCAAGTCGCGCAGCTACTAGGTCTTGAGAAGGATGCCTCAGAGCGACAGATCAAGAAAGCATACCGAAATCTGAGCAAGAAATTTCATCCCGATAAGAACCCGTACGTGCAATGCTATGCCAGTCCACCAACAGCCTGCTAACATGTCACAGTGGCAACGAACAAGCAAACCAGAAATTTGTTGAGATTGCCGAAGCCTACGAAGTCCTTATCGAGAAAGAAACACGCAAGATATATGACCAATACGGCCATGAGGGCATTCAACAGCACAAACAAGGTGGTGGACCTCGTCAGCATCACGATCCGTTTGACCTCTTCTCGCGCTTCTTCGGTGGTTCCGGACATTTTGGACACCATGGCGGGGAGCGACGAGGGCCGAACATGGAGGTTAAAGTATCCATTCCTCTACGTGACTTTTACAATGGCCGTAAGACGGAGTTCACGATCGAGAAGCAAGCAATCTGCTCGGCCTGTGAGGGATCAGGTTCAGAAGATGGACACGTAGAGACCTGTGGCACATGTGGTGGACGAGGCGTTCGCATACAACGACAGCAACTTGCACCGGGACTCTTTCAGCAAGTCCAGGTACATTGCGACAAATGTCACGGCAAAGGCAAGACAATCAAGCACCCATGTCCGGTCTGCAGCGGTAGTAGAGTAATCCGTGAATCCGAGACGCACCAACTCGAAATTGAGAAGGGCATGCCCAACGGCGTACGCATCACCTATGAGAATGAAGCAGACGAGAGCCCGGACTACGTTGCTGGCGACCTTATCGTCCACCTCGCCGAAGCCGATCCTGCATTCGGACAACAAGAGCACGAACGCACAGATGGTACCTTCTTCCGAAGACGGGGTAAGGACCTCTTCTGGCGCGAGGTTCTATCTCTCCGAGAAGCATGGATGGGTGACTGGACCCGCAACGTCACGCATCTCGACGGCCACATTGTCCAGCTCTCGCGCAAGCGCGGCGAAGTCGTACAGCCCAACCTCGTTGAAATTATCAAAGAAGAGGGTATGCCCATCTGGCACGAACAACTGGAAAACAACGAGGGTCTGCAATACGGTGACCTGCACGTCGAGTACGTAGTCGTCTTGCCTGACCAGATGGAAAAGGGCATGGAAAAGGACTTTTGGAGCGTCTGGGAGAAGTACAGGAAGAAGAGCGGTGTTAGCATTGATGCTGAGCTTGGTAGGCCGCAGGAGCCGATTAAGATGCCGGAGCCTGATGCGCACGACGAACTGTAAAGCATATTCTGTTTTGCTAAACATGCAACTGTGAGGAGGGGGACAAGACAAACAGAGAGAGAGAGAGAGAGTTTTGTATGAAATGACGCGTGAATACCCGTTGCTGGAATGAAGATGGTGTGTGTGTGGAGTTGGGGAGTAAGTCTTCTGTGAGATCAATGAGCATGGGAAAGGGACATTTATAGATGGGATTTTTTAGCTCTCGATTTTCTTGGTATAGATGGCAAGATTATGCAGTAGTACTATGTGTAGGGTGTTCTTGTTTTGCTTCGTGTGTGTGTGTGTATGGTGAGGTTACAGAAACATACAATTACATGTCTTTGTCTCCAGGGCGGCTTGTGTCTCTTGGTGTTAACATTCTTCTCTTGCACGTCAAGTATATTACATTCGAATACAGTCCAATTTTTTTAATAGCCTTGAAACGCTGCGCTTTTTTTTCCTTGAAGAAGAAGTAGAAGAAGTGGAATTTTGGCAAACCCCCCAGATTAAGCAGGGTTTGCAAATATCATTACGCTACTATTGCCTTGTTAATTGTTATTTCTTTCTCTTAATTTGAACATGATTCTTGTTTTCTCATGCACAGAAAACGAATAAATCATGGAAATTGTGTTATAATAATACTTGCAAGGAAAAAAACATTCATAGCACATCTCGCGTCTCTGGGATACTGTGAATCTTTGGATATGCTAATAAGTATTGGCTCCGGCCTTTCGGGAACGTTTTTGTGAAACAAAATTTCGGGATTTATTAGAACTAGTCATACAGGTATTC